ACACAAAAGTAAACAAGCAGCTCAAATCAGCCAAAAATCAGAACCACCTCTGTATTCACTTTCTATAAGAGCCAATGGCACTTGCAAATTAGCTCAAGTGGCAACAATAGCAACCATCCGTTGATATGTCTGAAGCTGCTAAATTTCCGCTGCGCTGATCTTAAACGCCGTGAGTATTCGCTGTGCTTTTGTTTCTTTTGTGATTTGCTTCCTGTTCACTAAGCGCATAGCATCTGTTACGTAAGTATATGTGTGTCTTGCTTGGCGATTGGATAAAATGTGAAATGTAATGGTTTCCTCTTCCGAGTGTTGCAAATAAGAACGGTAATGACAGGCTTGATTTTTTGGCATGCACCATTACCAATTCACTGCCCAGAACTAACGAATTTAACAGACTGGATAAAATGATTGCTTTTATTTTGATCGTGCATATGGTTCTGTTACTTAGAAGCAGTAAAGTGACCAAAAAAGAAAGAAGCTAAAGCAGAACATATATACTTTTGGGCAATGGAGTGAGTGTGTGTGCGAAAGAAGCACAAGTCAATTCGGATACGCAGAAGTGCTCCAAAGCCAATGCAAGATTTTTTTGCGTGCTGAAGTCGCATTTTTATGTGTTCAGTTTTTCAACGCTTATTGGTAATGTTTGGCAGCAATGGCATTTGCATAATGTGCAAAAACTCAAAAAAAGGCTTAGAGCCAAAGCAGCAGTTGGTTTCCACTCAAATGAGCAGTTGATTATGATGAATTTGTGAGCACCTCAAGAGGAACTTCCTTGAATACCACCACCCTGCAGACCTCGCTTTCACTGGAATCGTCGTCTGCTCGAAGACAAATCATCCGATCGCTGCCACCAATCAGGGCTGGCAAAGGCACGATCAAGGTCTTGTTCGCACTCCGCGGTTCACTGATGTAAGCCGTGAAGCTGAAGAAGATTACAGGCATATTGCAAATTATAAGGCACTAGCACAGGCATAGGGGGAACAATAAGCTATTCTGAATAAATAAAAGAGCTGGTTTCAAGGACATTTTGTCTGGTACAATAACACAGATTTGCCAATAACAGAGATCTTGATTGCTAAATATAGACTACACTCTGATCATATGTAGGAGTGCTGCCGCAGCAGTGGATTTAGATCGCCCAAACTATGAACCAAAAATTTTCCTATTTTTGTCATAGGAGATTTCTCAAGTTATTAAGCCCATGAGGCTGGAAGCGCCAAATTAGTAATATATAGACGGCTTACTAGAATTCGTCGATGCTGTTTTTGTCGGCCGTCTTCTTGACTGTACCATGCATAATTCCAGTAGCATTATACACAGTTAGATTGAAGAAGCGATTCGATTTGAAATCAACAATTATCGTTCCCGAGAAGTCGTCCACTTTTGAAAAATCGTGCACAAACGATAAGCTGCACGTCTCGTCGTGAAGCTTAAAATACAAACTATGTCAGTTTAGTTTATGAAGACCATGGAAGAAAACGTCGATTATCTTCAACAGACTTCTGACTGTTTATGATAAAATTATCCAAAAAAGGGCTTCAGAAAGACAATATATAAGGAGGGACCGAGATGTATCAGGAGCAAAAAGTTGTATTTATATCTAAGGTCACAAGCTGAGACGTAAAAGCGTGCGAAGAATGGCCACAATAAAAATTATTATGAGATAAAAAGAAAACCACAAACTTGAAGTGCGACATCCACGTTGGTACCATCAGTATGAGTCACTACTGCATGACGAGCCGACCCATCGACAATCCGAGCGCTCCCTACCCACGGGTACATGCGTTCCACCGGTGCTTCAAGTATGAATCGCTCCGGATTCTAAAATTACTTTTTTTTAGAATGCCACAAGTTCCGTGCCAAATTTTCAATAGAAATCTATTATCACTCATTAATAATACTAATAGTATCACGGTGTAAAAATAGTAAGCACACCTCAGGATCGTTGCGATCGACGTAATGATGCGCATCCAAGTAACTCTGCGATTTCTGGTCTTTGCAATTATCCACTTTTGCCAAATGTACCCTTTGCATTTTTACCTTTCCATTTCGGACAACAAAATGACCAGCTGAATCTTTTCGGAACCAGCCTAGCTTTTCGAAGCTGCAAAAATAAATTTCCACAAATGTTTTTCTCTTAATTGGCCTTATGTTCTTTCACGTCTGTCTTCAACTGTGGGAAAAGGTATCCCCGGTGTTAAAATAGGACAGTGTTCTTGATGGCACTAGAATGAGGGGGCAAGGAGAATTATACAGGAAAGGCCCTTTGTTGCCAATTTTTATGCATCCTGTGCTGCAGTAGTTGCACAAAACGCGTACTGTCGAGACCCTGACCCTGTGTGTATGTGTCTGTGTGTATGCCTGCATGTATGCGTGTGTGTTTTGAATTCATTTTATCTGGGAATTTCAACTCTGGAACCAGAGAAACTAGAAAGCTGAAATTTTAAAGGCGAACTCTCCGCGTGTGATTTCATTAAGTACTGGAAAATTTAGAATGGTACTAAGTTGCTGAAGAAAATAATGAAGTTAAGCAATTTTTAAAGGTTAAAGCAAAATGGGTTAGGACGTTTCTTACGACCACATGTGTAATTTGGTCGTAGTGTAGACCAGCGAAGGAAAACAGTCGAATCTTAATATTGGTCAAACTTCAAAAAAAGGCATTTAGGTGTCTCAGGTATGCAAGCCGGTATTTAGAGTTGATTAACTCAAATCTAGCGCTCACGAGT